CGACATGGTACTTCCTGCAGCAGCTCATGGTAAACACATGGCTGGAGTACCTCCTTTCCCTCCAAGAGCAATGGAAGGTCTGTGATGATCAGCAGTCATGGAAACAAAGAGGATCCATACAGAAATAGAGAACCAAAAGTGCTTATTTTTGTAAAACAACTTTCAAAAGAAGATTGGACCTTGGGCACAGTTTGTCACGCCAAAAGAATATTCCCAACAAGGAACAGATGAAAATGACAAAGGATTCTGGACTGAGGAAGAGGCTCTCATCTGGCTGTGGTTTTCTCCTTTCTAACTCTCTCTCGAGGAGAACTTGGACTCTAGTCTCTGTCATGGTGAATGCTTATAAATGGTGCCAAGGTGTACCCCACAGTTTGTGTAACTAGTTAGTGTCACAGTAAAAAAAATATGCATGGATAAGTAATGAAGACACTCTACAAGAAGAGATGCTGGAAATAAAAAGAGAGCTATGTTGCTAGAGTCCTTGGTAATCACACCAAAGCTCATAGTTAAGCCAAAATCCTCACACAAGTGGATAAGAGAGCCAGGAGTTCTTCGCATAGTGTCCCCTTTGGCCTCCATATACAAACATACTCACAGCACACACAAGCTCTTCACAAACTTCTTGTATACCTACCTAGCTGTACACTCAGACATAAAACCTCAACAACACCCAATATTCATAGACTTCTGATAAATGTATATTCATTAAATGTTCTCAAAATAAAAAATAAAAAAAGAACCAGAACAAACCAAAATTTAGATAGGAAGATATAGATGACAGATTACTGAAAGAAAAATTATCTAAAATGGGTAAATGACGTGGAGCCAACATGGGGCTATAGACAGAAGCACCACGCCATCCCTACACAGCAAAGACCTGAAAAACTAATTAAAACAGAGACAAACATCAATCCTGGAACTCTAAAGGTCAAATGAAGTGATAAAGAACTCAGCAAAGCACTGAACGGAGTAAGAAACTGACAGAGAACAGAGAGTGAGGAGAGACATGTGCGGAGGTCCCCTATTAGCTAATGCAGCATGAATTCACCATCTTGGACTCTTGTTGGAGATAGGCAGACAAGGAGTACAGGAAAGCAGTTTCACAGACCTCCTAGCAGGAGAGAGAGCACCCGGTAATCAGTGATATATGCTTTCCCACTCCCCATTTTTCTCCCCCCTGCTCTAACTCTGTCACTTCCCAGCAGGATGCAGTAGCTCAGCCAGTCAGGAAGTGCAGGGTCCTTGCGAGTTGCATTCG